GCCGCATAAATTGAAAAGAACGACAGCTTGCAAAAGATAGCAGGACCAACCCCAGAAAATTCTTCAAATATATTAATAGTAAAAAGGTTCGGTCCGAGCATGTAGGCCCTTTACAAAATAATCTAGAGTGGGTGACTGGGGACAAAGAGAAGGCAAATTTATTTAATACCTTCTTCAGCTCTGTGTATACAAAGGAGCATGGGGGAGCTCTTGCATGGTATTGACACAGCTCCAAATGATCCACATTGGCTCACAACTGATATGATCCAAAAATATTTAGACAGTATAAAGGTGAATAAAGCACCTGGACCGGATGGCATACACCCATGGGTCCTTAAAGAATGGAGCTCTGTCATTTCTAATTTTTAGGGACTCTTTAATGACTGGCATAGTACCACTGGATTGGCGTAAGGCCAATGTGGTGCCAATATTTAAAAAGGGGTCAAAATCTTTACCAAGTAATTATAGACCTGTTAGTTTAACTTCTATAGTTGGGAAGATACTGGTGAGTTTAATAAAAGACCACATAGATGAGTTCTTGCTGGAAAAAAATATTTTAAGCAACAGACAGCATGGATTCATGAAAGATAGAAGTTGTCAAACAAATCTGATTTCTTTTTATGAGTTGGTGAGCAAAACCTTGGACAGAGGGGTGGCGGTGGACGTGGTATACTTGGATTTTGCAAAAGCGTTTGACACAGTTCCCCACACACGGCTAATGTGTAAGGTAAAGTCTACAGGCTTGGAATAAACCGTATGTAAATAGATAGAAAACTGGCTAAAAGATCATATTCAGAGAGTAGTGGTTAATGATTCATACTCTGAATGGTCTAGGGTCATCAGTGGTGTACCCCAGGGTTCAGTGTTGGGACCCTTACTTTTTAATATATTTATAAATGATATAGGGTCTGAGATTAAATATCCCATTTCAGTCTTTGCAGATGACACCAAGCTGTGCAGTGGAATAGCGTCCTTACAGGATGTCTTCAACTTACAAGCCAACCTCAATGCACTGTTTATTTGGGCAACTATGTGGTAAATGAGGTTTAATGTTGATAAATGTAAAGTTATGCACATGGGAGCTAAGAATATGCATACATCATACATACTAGGGGGGGAGTACAACTGGTGGAATCAATGGTGGAGAAGGATCTGGGAGCTCTGGTAGATCACAAGCTTAATAATGGCATGCAATGCCAAGCTGTGGTTTCTAAAGTGAGCAAAATCCTCTCTTGTATTAAAAGAGGTAGAAACTCCGGAGAGAGAGAGATATCATATTACCCCTGTACAAATCATTAGTAATACCTCATCTGGAATATGCAGTTCAGTTTTGGGCACCAATTCACAAAAGAAGATTGGGGAACTGGAGAAAATACAGAAAAGGGCAACTAAACTGATACGAGGCATGGAGGAGATCAGCTACGAGGAAGGATTAGAGGAACTGAATTTATTCTCTCTTGAGAAGAGATTAAGGGGGGATATGATCAACATGTATAAATGCATCAGTGGTTCATATAGTGAACTCGGTGTAGAGCTATTCACCCTGAGGTCAACACAGAGGACAAGGGGGCACTCTTTACGCCTGGAGGAAAAGAAATGTAATCTCCAAACACGAAAAGGTTTCTTTACAGTCAGAGCTGTGAAAATGTGGAATAGACTCCCTCAAGAGTTGGTTCTGGCCAGCTCAGTGGATTGTTTCAAAAAAGGCCTGGATTGTTTCTTAGATACACAGAATATAACTGGATACTAACATTTATAGGTAAAGTTGATTCGGGGAATATCTGATTGTCTATCAGCAGGAGCAAAACTGGATCGTGCTTTGCTAGGTTTTTTTTTGCCTGCCTCTGGATCAACTGTTGGTATAGGATTATAAAGCTTTTTTTATTTCTATGGTTGAACTGGATGGACTTTTGTCTTTTTTCAGCCAGACTAACTATGTAACTATATACAAATGTGAGATCCCTATGTGCACTGTGTAGTGCAGTGTGCAGTGCACTGTGTAGTGTGGAAGTATAGAATCACTGTACTAGTACTACTAGGGTCTCAAATCAGAATGGGCACCATTGCATTGTTGTCAATGAATGCAAGCCATTCTCAGATTGGAGAAGGTGGAAGTCATGACACCACCATACAATCAGATAATGCTTTACAAGGTATTCTTTGAATGGCACCTGAGCTGAGCCGGAGACTTCCTGAGGTTACATGTGGCTTGGCACAGGACAGAAGACAATGAAGATCAGTGTAGTAAAGGCAGCTATCTTACCAGACCTTAGATTATGTGGCTGAATTTGTTTTCTTTTTTTCAATTTTTTTTCTTCTTTATGTTCACTGGTAATCATGCGAATAAGACACTTCCTGTCCCTGGGTGGCTATGTTCACTCCTTCAGTGTCCTCTCTGGTAGCAGAATGACCATTTACTTACTACACTCACATGCAAGGATAGGCACCTTTATTCCACTTCCCACATCTGGCTAGGTTCCTGGACACATCCAAGGAAGGTAAACACCTCAGCTTCCCGTCCTCAACAGCTGGTAGCTGGACATGTAATCTACTTTTGGTGAGAGGCCCTCCACTTTCAGAACCCATGTACAGACAATCAGGTCAGAGCCTGATAGCACACAGCTTCTCTGAAAGACCCTTCCCTGATTGCCACCAAAGTACTAAAGTTGCAGTAGGGTGTCAATCCTACTGTGTCTTCAGGCATGGAAGCCCTCCAGCTGTTCACCTGTATTACTAGAGCTACCCTGGGATTCACTGAGAAAGGCACTGTTTATGAGGACAATTACAAGTAGCTGTGTTCTGAACAGTTTTAGTGACTCTCAGCTTAACCCTCTGTTGTTATAGAGTCTTATGAAGACTATGTTGTGCAGCCACGTTACCCTGATTAAGTCAAAGAGATATTGCTGTTAATATATTCTTAATCAGATATGCAAAATACTAGCAGGCAACATGTTAGTTCCAGGCTTCACTTAAGGTTGACTTTGCTGCTTTTCTGTAAAAATAGCATGTGCTTCAAGCAAACGTCAATGGTTGGATTTCAAATTTCAGAGAGTTTATGGAACACTACCACATTTTTAATCAAATGTTGATGAGACAAACATTATTTTTGAGTTTCTGACAAATTGTATATCTTTGTGTTACCCAGGACCTGGCAGTAGTATTGTTGGGGGTGACAAGTACTTTGACAGATAAGCTGGTGGCTTTATTCTCCCTTCTTTCCAAATGATTGAAATAAACTGGTAAACTCAGCCAATCCAAGCGTACAAGTGTTACAAGCATTTTGAAGACTTTCTACCTCATCATCTGACCACCCTTTGAAGTCTTTAGGCAGCTTTATGGACAAACACAGTGAGTCCATCCTCTGATGAGTTTCATGGACTCAGCTTAGATTTAAATGGGGCTCACTCACGCCCAGCATATGAGAATGAGCATGATTCAGAGTGGTCTACACATAGAAACTTTATAGACAATGTTCTAGAAATTGATCACTATTTTAATGTAGCACACTCTAGTGTGCTGGGAGCAGCTCTGTAGGGGGAGAGAAGACATCTCTGCATTTAGCTACAGAAAGTAAAGTGATTTTTGAGGGGCTGCTTGTTCCTTGCCCATAAGTGGCAGGTGCTGCTGATCCGCAACAACTGACAGCTTTCAGGAAAAGAACAGTCCATGATCTGCTTTATACATAGGAAGGAAGTGACCCCCTTTCATTATTTCAAGTCAGATTGGACATTCCATAATCCCCATTCCCATATCAAAGTAGAATTCCCCTAAATAAAACAACAAAACCAAGTTCATGGCTGGCCACTATCTCAGAATGCAAGTCTGTGTGAAAACGTTTCCTATTTTACTTATATTTCAATTGTTTTCTAACAAAAAGTATCAGAAAACTGAGGGAAATATGAGGGAGAGTGATATTTTACAACTCCCAATACTACTCCCAATACTCCTGACTTCATCTTCTACATGACTTCACAGCCATGGAAGGAAACCAGCTAATATTTTGCTGCCTTGCCTCACCTCCAATATTAAAGGATAAGTTCACCTTTGTGAGCATGTTACATGTTCCACCCATTTTTATGGTGGAACATGTAACATGGTCCCATAGCCACAGCCGCAACTGCACGTTTTTTACCTGCAAAAAAATTTGCATTTATTATTTTAGTCTAATAGGTAAACATATCCTTTAAGTTCTTTGAATGCACTTGCATTTCACTATTTTATCTAGCCAATGTAAAAGGCATCTGAGTGGCAAAATACCTATAGAGATACTTTTTACTGCACTCGAAAAGCTGTCAAACCCAGCTGTAAATTGCACCATGGGTTAAAGGCGAATTCTATGGGTTTGAGATTTTATTTTAGCTTAAAGTGTTTTTTCTTTTTTTTATAGCTAGCACTAGGGCTGTTCATGTTTGAGCTGTTTTAAGCCCATCTACAGGCTGGTTGGACAGTGGCAGTCTTCATAAATCTGTGAAACACCATGATCTACTATAAGCAATGACAATTGGCTTCATTTACTAAAGGCAGATAGGTTGTTTACATTGCAAGGAAAGTTGTACTTTTAACCACAAGCCTACAGGGCACTTATACCCCCTTCCTGCCCTGGCCAATTTCCAGCTTTCAGCGCTGTCGCACTTTGAGTGACAATTGCGCAGTCATGCAACACTGTACCCATATGAAATTTTTATCATTTTTTTGTGACAGATAGAGATTTCTTTTGGTGGTATTTAATCACCTCTGGGTTTTAAATTTTTTCTTAAACCAAAAAAACCACAGAAAAGTTTGAAAAAAAAAGTATTTTCTTAGTTTTTGTTATACAATTTTGTAAATACGTGATTTTTCTCCTTCACTGATGTGCGCTAATGAGGCTGCAGTGATGGGCACTGATAGGCTGCACTGATAGGTGGCACTGATGGACACTGGTGAGGAGGCACTGGTAGGTGGCACTGATGGGCATTGATAGGCATCACTGATGGGCACTGAAAGGCAGCACTGATACATGGCACTGATATATGGCACTGATAGGCGGCACTGACTGGCACTGATAGGCACCACTGACTGGCACTGTTAGGCAGCACTGACTGGCACTGTTAGGCGGCACTGATTGGCAGCACTGATAGGTGGCACTGATTGGCATTGATAGGTGGCACCAACTGGCACTGATGAGTGACACTGAAAGGCAGCCCAAATGGGCACTGATATGTGGCATTGATGTGCACTGGTAGGCACTGATATGTGGCATTGATGTGGCACTGATGGGCACTGGCACGAGGCACTGATGGACACTGACAGGTGGCACTGCTGGGGCTACACTGATCATCAGTGCCCTGATGATCAGTGTACATGTCCCCTCTGCAGAAAGCCGATTACCGTCTCTCCTCTCGAGCTGTCAGCGTGACAGCTCGAGAAGAGAGAAATGCAGATAACCGGCATTTCCCTGTTTACATGTGATCAGCTGTAATTGGATACAGCTGATCACATGACAGAGCCGGCATCTTTGGCTCTTTCCATGATTGGTGATCTGCTGTGTCCGAGGGACACAGCGCACTGCCGATCGCCGTGCTGCGCGCTCCCTGAGTCGCGCATGCGTGGTGAGAATGGGAGGACGTCATATGACGTCCTCCCAGAACGAGAGAACCACCTTGCATCCGTCATATTACTATATGGCGGGTGGGAGGTGGTTAAAGGGAATGTTCCAGAGAGCTTTGTAAGGGTGGTGAAATTTCTCTTTGCAAACAATACCAAATCATGCACAAGGAAAAAAAAACTGCATTTTGCTTGCACATGATATGATATTGGAAGTTAGCTGAGCTTCAGCTTATTCAGTAAACTCTGGGGAAAATTCCCTTGCAAAGTGCACCTTTTAGTGCAAAGTGAACATCCTATTTGTCTGTAGTAAATCTCTTTGCCTGCTTCCCTGCATGTAAGCTGCACACTCATACTTGGCTGATAATTAACCAGTTCATTAAATCATGATCAAAGCTTGACTTTGTACTAAGAGAGAATGACTTTAATAGTATTCACTTTTGCAAGCATGTCAATTATATACAGTAGACTAAAGTAATATGCAAAAATCATTGTATTTATATCCCTAAAATTCCAGGTACAATTTAGAGATTTTGCAAAGTTTTGGTTAAATGCATTGGAGACAATAGGAAGGTGAATTAAGTTATTTGTTTTGTAGTCTGTAAAGGTACAGTGGGCTTTAAATTGCTTCTGAAGGTTTTCACACATCCTGGAAATGTTTTCCAATTTTTGTTACTCCCCAAATGTGCACAATTTACAAAAAATACCTCCTAAAAAAACATACAACAAACACTAAATTAAACTGCTCCAAATGCACCAACAACCTCACAACCTCTAAATAAAAAGACTATCTTTCAAGCTCATTTTACCATAGCAGCTCAATGAGAGAAATTGAGAGTTTTTGCTAGGGGAAATCAGTAATTTTACTGTAAAATCAAATTTGAGTCTTTACCCCTCTTTAATTCCTAATTCAACAGGTTTTCTGTAAGGATGGACCTGTACATTACTGAGATGTATACTGTATGTGCATACATTTTTAGGTATATCATTATATACATAAATGCCATCATTAACATTTCTTGAACATGTGCACCAACATATGTTGATATGCAAGACAGCTAACTTAAAATGTTACAATTAAATAATCTGTAAGTATTTGCAGTTTGATTTCTGCTGGGACCTTCTGTGTAATTAATGGTAAATTAACAACTACTATTCGTTAGGGGAATCATTTGATGTTTCATTTATACACATTTTAATTTTGCTTTGCTAAGAGTTTGTATTGATTAATGACAACTCATACAGAAACTCATCTACTGTACTTGATTCCTGCTGCTTGCACTGCGTATGTTGACAGTGTTGTGTGATATAGCACAGGTGTGCTCAGTTGGGACCCGAGTGAAACACAGCATTTGGATATAATCAGGAGGACTCATTAGGAATCACATTTACCTTAAATAAATTCTATAATTACTCTTCTCTTAGGATGGTTTCTTAAAGCAATTTTAAAGGCTCTTTTTTTGGGGGGGGAAACAAATATGCTATTCTTACCTTCTGTATGCGGTGGTTTTGCTCATAGCAGCCTGGATCCTCCTCTTCTCAGGTCCCCTGCAGGATCTCCTTGTACCTCCCACCTGTCGGGTGCCATCACAGCAAGCAGCTTGCTATGGGGGCACACGCTGCTCTGTGTGTCCATTCATACATGGATCCACGGCTTGGCCCCGCCCCTCTCTCCTCATTGGTTGACTGGCTGTGATTGACAGCAGCAGTAGTCAATGGCTCCTGCTTGCTGTCTCAGCCAATGAGCAGGCAGAAACGCAGGACAGCTGAGGCACACATCACTGGATCATGATGAGGCTCAGGTAAGTATTGAAGGGGCTAGGGGCACTGCTGCACACAGAAGGTTTTTTTACTTTTATGCATAGAACACATCAAGGTAAAAAACCTTGAGCCGTTACAACCACTTTAATTTAAATAAAGGAAAGTAGGGGGTCAGGTCCTGCAGAATGATTTTGATTTATTTATCCAGAGCTTAAAGTGTTACTAAAACCCAGGACCCTGCATTCACTATATCTGGTCTCCTACAGTACACAGAACTTGGAAATGCAATTATTTTCAGAAATATAAACTTCTAAATACCTTTTCTCATCATCAGTATATAGCAGTCTTGTGACTTCTATCAGTGCCCAGCCAAGCACTGGTTAACGTATGTAGGATGAGTTTTCATTCTGATCTGACTGTCCTATGTGCCTGCATGACCTCTGACCCTCCATATGGATAGCCCTGATTGGCCCTGTGCTGATCACATGCACCCTCCTTAAAAAAAAAAAAAAAAACTATCTAGCAATTCACACTGAGGATGTGCAGAGTGCCTCCTAGGGCTCTGTACTATCAGCAGATGGATTTGGGACTGTGGAAGAAGGGGGGGATCAGAAAAGACAGGATCAAACAGCCTTTTTAAACAATGAGGAGGATTAACCCCTTAGGATCCACAGTGAGTTTACTGCATATACAGACAGATTTTTCCATTGTCGGGTTAGTAACACTTTAGGTGCTGAGATCTTTAAAAGGACAACATCACCAAACTATTCATTTCAACAAAAATGTTCCCATTATATTATATATGCATTTAATTTATTTTATGCATGCTATTTACTTGTAAAAACAACCCTTCTGTGGACATTCAAGATCCAATAGACTGCTTTTGGGTGCTTTCATTTTCGATGTGATGTCAGCAGCAAAGCAGATTCCACTCTGTAGTGTTCCTCATTTGTTCCTCCCCCAGCTGCTAAATCAAAGTTTATGGAGTTAATTAGAGAAGCAAAATGAAAGGTGGAGCAGTTGATCCAACACAGAGTATTTAGACATTTGTATAGTTGGCCATTTATCTTTTTAATCAGGGATGCAAATGGGTAGTGACCCCGTAACAGTCCCTCTCCTTCCTGGCCCAAATTCTGGGGTCCTTGCATAGGTTTTTCAGAAAATGTTGGGCATGGGAGTGATTTGGGGACATTTTTTCTTCTACTTAAGCAGATGTGGAAGAGACACCTGCCTGGTCAAGGATGCTGCTGAGGATGGTGGGGAAGGATTGGGGAGACTTATGGTGAAGTTCAAGACTATGCGTGGCCCTACTTAGCATAGCCCCAGCTGACTCTCTTCCTCATTTTATGTGCCAGAAATTAAGTCTATCAAACCCCTTCTCAAGCTTCCTTTTGTATTACTTGAGGATGCAGATGTTGCAGAAAATGCAGATGGAGAATGTTGTGGAGGAGGGGGGAGAGGTAGAATATGAAGACTTAGAAGGAGGAATGTGGGCCTTTTGCTGCTGACCAGTATCATTGAGGTGCTGCTCCCACCAAGCTTTCAGTTGCAGATTTATACATCTCCTCATACATGTGGTAACCAAATGACTGGTAGATTTGCCGAGGATTCAAACCACAATGCTGGTGTCAGCAACAGATGTGTAAAAAAAAAAGCCAAGACTGCTGAGCTTTATAGAATGGTCCTGGGAATAGCCGTAGCCTGTACAGGTTTGGCAGTCCCATCCAGTGGAATAGGACAGTTCTCTCCAGTGCTATGTAAGCTGTCCCACCCCTGGACAAAATCCTACCTTGCTATTGTTCTGCCTCTCCCTCATGTTCCTCTACTACAACCTCTGGTATTCAGGTATGGTCTGCCACCTCATCATCCCCACCCTCCTCTTCATTCAAGACAACTGGCAGTAACCTCCAACTGCAGGAACATCACAGGCAATTGCTGTGCCTTGTCCGATCTACCAATGCTCTTCTATGGCCCTAGCGCTCTCTTCCTCAATACTGCATAATGTGCATTCCTAAAGAACTTTATAGCAGCAACTATCTCTTGCTGCAAACACACTATCAGCTCTGTCTATCTATTCCAAGTCTCCAACACACATTGACTTTTGGCTGCCAGGTACCCTGATTTTTATGATGAGTAGGCTGGAACATAAGAAATCCCTCATTACTGACCCCTCAAAGCCACCTAATCATAGATCAATGGTCAGAAACTGCATTATTGGTAATAGGTTGCTATAGCGGTGAACTGCCATATTAGTTTTCTGTTTTTCCAAACTTCAAACAAGTTGGGTTTGCCACAAATTCATGTTTGACCCCAACCTGAAGCTCATCCCTAGCAACCAGTAGGTTGTAAGCTGCTTATGAAATTTTAAGTCTGATCCCACCATCATCCAGTGAACATACAGTCCACCAGGTAGCTGGCAGGGCATACTGTCCAGCTGTTGTGACATTCAACAACAGCTGGACAATTGCTAAATAATGAAGAAAGGCTGCCTGCAGTGCTATTCAATAGAATCAGTAAACTGGAAGATGGTTTTAGCTAAAATATTTTCATTTCTGTCTTTAGCAAAAATCAGTGTTAAAGTGGTATTCCAGGCAAATCTCTAAATACACTGTTAAATACATATTTGTTTTTTTTTACTGTCAATAGATTTGCAGTTCTGTACAGTCAGTAGTATGATTAACATAAATTTACCACACTGCACAGCCAGGAGAATACATTTTTCATCCATGGTTTCTAGAATTCTTACTTAAGATCTGCTGTAAAAAAAAAAGGTGAATATATGTAAATAGTTGAACCATTTAGAAAATAACCTCTTATAAATAATATGTACATATTCCAGTTTTCATTACTATCAAAAATTTATATTTGTGTATTTTGTAAACAAAAAAATTTTCAGATCAAAAAGAAAAACTGTCATGGACAGAAGAAGAAGATAGAAGAAGAGTAGCAACTCTAAGAGTAGCCAAATGAGTACATAATAAGGTATGTAATGTGCACTTCTCCCCTATTAGAGCGGCTGTCGTTACAATGAAGGGGTAGATTTACTAAAACTGGTTCCCTCAGAATCTGGTGCACTTGTGCATGGTATCCAATCAGCTTCTAACCTCAGCTTGTTCAATTAAGCTTTGGCAATAAAACCTGGCAGCTGATTGGTTTCTATGCAGAAGTGCACCTAATTTTGCACTCTCCAGATTTAGTAAATAAAGCCAGAAGTGTGAAGCAGCAT